ATATGATGAGCCCCTGTAAACGCACTATTGTAAGGGAATGTACACCCGCTACAAAATGTACAGTATCTGCAAGGTAGGGTACGATGGGTATCAAAATGAAAGCTGCAACTCCTGTTGTTTCAGTAGGGCTGTCAAAATCCTTTGTCCATTGTGTCATATTGTCTAAGAACCTTTTCTTAAAGATACTTTTTCCAGTGAGTGTACAGGTGAGAAGAGTAAACCAATTTATAATGTTTATTCAATAAAATTTACCAATATTTAGTAATGAAATTGCAATTAGTGTTTGCATGAAAACTTAATACAGAACAGATTCAGTGTCAAAAGGGGGAATTTGGCAGTTGATGGTAATGTATCCTCTCTTTTCCTATAAATTTTATCTTAATTTATATAGAAGTTATCTTCATTTATAATGATTTCAACAATATCAGCCTTTTCCAGGAAAACAAAAGCCTTGGTATAAGTGAAGAACATCTGTACATGAGGCCATGCATTTAGTGTCATTAACCCAAAAGTGTAGTTGGGAGATGAATATATTTTGTCGTGAAGATTGGTACTTGTTAGCACTGAGCCTTTTAGGCCATTGTTGGCTAGCCTTTAAATTAAGCCCCAGGCACTTTAGTGAATTAGGATTCCCTAGGTTTACATACTGGTGTATAGGATTTGGCATGCTTTATGCACAAACTGTTTTGAACTGGCATTAAGGGATAAAAGTATGAATAAAATCAGTTTGAGAGGAAATATTCTCACTTTTTACAAAAAGAAAAGTGTTGTGGTAACTACAAAGTGTCTACATACAGTAATGCAGGAAGAACTTAGGAAAGAGAGAATGAAAGATACATACAAGTATAGTATGAAAAAAAAACAAGGCTACTAAAGTGTTTCTGGTCTCCAGATACTGTAACATATTTTTTCAAAAAGTACTTGAGACTTTATCTTCCTCAAGTATGATGTTCATATTATTATAATTATGAGGCTAAGCCTTCAGTCTTCCCCACCTCAATCTTTTAAGTTATTCAGCATCTTGTGAAATGAGTTGTTATTCTGTACCACAAATTATTAAAAAATAGCCTTTGTTGCCTTTTTCTTTCTTTAATACAGTAGTACATGAATCACTACTGTAGTACAACAGAAATATGTTTTACATGAAACTGTAGCGGTTTTGAATAATTTTTCATACCTGTACTATTCAATAAACAGGACCCGATACTGTATCTTCGTGTCCATTGCATTGAATATAAAAAAAAGTTACATTTGTGAAATCCTTATAACCCCATTAATGGTAAATGAATCAAACAACTTGAAAGTCTAATGTAGTTATGAAAAGATGCCTAAAAAATTTCACTGATAAATACTTTTAGCTAAAATCCTCAAAAAAATTCTTAGCTGAAGCTAATACAGTAGAACCCCAGTTATCCAGCACCTGCAGGGATTAAGAGGTGCAGGAAAAAGAGGTTTTCCAGTTAGTTGAACCCCACTCTTAGGATCCTCAAATAACTCCTACAATGCAGTGCTACGGGCTAACCTTGCAAATTCGTCTCATTAAAACCTTTTTTTATTTTTTTTGCCACTGATCAGCTTACTTTTTCCACTCCATATAAATGATGTGGCTTAGAAACAGATAAAATATAATATAAAATTATAAATTAATAAAAATTAAGAGCATGGGTACGTGTGGGAACCGAACGTGTGTCGAGGCAGTGGGCTATAACTGCATTGCTGACTCACCAGCCCAGCTGCTGCATTTATGGTTACATGTAATGAATCAATAAAAGTTGTCAAAAAATCAATACAATATTCTAATATGGCTTATAAATAAAGAAAATATAATATAACACTATAAAAGAAGAAAAATGAAGGGTATGGATGTGTATGTGTGAGAAGTGAATATGTGATGAGGCAGTGGGCTATAACTGTGTGGCTGTGTTCCCTCCCGATGTGATATCACGGTATACACACAGCGCAGTGTGGCAGCTACATGTCTGTGAGTCAGCTAGTTGACAGTGTGGCTGAACTGTGTCATACCACTCAGAGGATGATTCAAGTTTGGAAGGAGCTATTTTTTGTACATAAAATATGTGCTACTGTATTTTATGATATGCTATGTATCCATTTTATTTTTTATCATAGCAATAAATATACCACCTTATCCCATTGTGCACAGTATTGAAATTTATGATTATAGCTGATTTTGGAAGAATTTTTATTTTATTATTATTTTTACAGTACAGGATGCTGGTTAGCTGAATCTGTCATTTCCAGGAATTTGGATAACTGGGGTTCTACTGTACTATCCATGTTGAGTAATTCTTTCCTCTGTATTGTATTTTGCAATACATACTGTATTACAGTAGTTAATATACAGTACAGGGTATATCACTCATCACTCGGTTATATATTCCTCATTGTTTCTATTACGTGTACTGATTACTCTGCCTTTATATCTTAGACGGCCACAAATGATAAATCAGTATTTTTAATTTAAGTAACAGTACATGCTTACATAGACTGAACAACTTCATGCCAAGCTCAATTTCAAGTGGAGGAGTCGGGGGTTTAATACAGTAACATGACGTGTGGCTGAATAGGCACAAGGCTTGAGTGGAGTTTAAAGCTTAAATATTTTTCACTGTCACAGACTGTCTTAGAACAGTATGTGTTAAAAGTCAGGAAACAATCACACACTTTGAATGTTGTAAGATCAGACTTCCTTTTTCTTTTTTGACATTTGCATCAGATACTGTACTATAAAGGGTGTTCCATAAATACCTTTCATAAATCAGGGTGTGTATTACTGAGACAAAGATAAATTGCTAAATGACCAAATTGTCAATTCTCAATAGTTCTGGAGAGCACATGACAGGCTTGGTAGTAATGTGATAAAACATGCAGTCACCAGAAATAAATCCCCTTGATTTCTACCTGTGTGGTCAAATAAAAAGCAAGGTGTATGTTACAGAGGTCCCAAACCGCAAGGAATTGTGGTGCAGTGTGCAGGAAAGTGTGACAAACATTTGTAACACCCCTGGGGTCTTTGAACGTGTGCAACACTCATTTGTGCGATGGGCTGAAGCCTGCATTGACCAAGAGGGCGGAACTTTGAACATTTGCTCTTAAATGTTAATCCCAGTACAAATCATGACATATGGCATTATTATTGCTAATAAGCGACACTAACAGCAGTGGATGTTTCATTTACACCCCAATATACTGTAGGTTTTATCACATTACTACCAAGCCTGTCATGTGCTCTAACTCCAGAACTATTGAGAATTGACAATTTGGTCATTTAGTAATTTATCTTTATTTATGTCTCAGGAATACACACCCTGAATTATGAAAGGTATTTATGGAATGCCCTTTATATCTACCAGTATTATAACTTTTCACTCAGTCTATGACTTCAGTGAAAACTTAAATAATGTGAGCCACTTTAAGCACTAATATCTGGATTTCATTTCAGAATACAGTACCGGGTATATTAAAGTTCTACTACAATACAGGTAAATTTAAATTAGAAACAATCCCATTTTGTCATAGTACTGTAAATTTCACAACCAATTCAACCCAAATAAACTTGCCAATTAATTTGAAATTAAGTTTCAACATACTGTACTGTACTGTACTGTACTGTACTGTACTGTACTGTACTATACTGTACTCAGATGCCAAAGCTATAATTATATGATTTTCCCATTTAACTGATTCAGCTAAACCTAAGCCTTTTTGACCAGCTTTGGGATGAAATTATTTTTTTTAATTTGCCAATCTGTAGTCCCCCTAAAAGCAGTTAACATTTCAGACGTGGTCTCATTGTCCACAGTCTTAAAAACAAAACCTCTTGATTATGTAGAATACAACCAATATCTATCCTTTAACGTTAGAAATACATTATCAAAGATATCTTAGGAATAAGGGAAGACTCAGCCATACAGTTTCTTTGTAAAACACTTCAATTACAAGCTATTATATCTCCAAACCATAAGTGTTGAAAACCCAAAGCTAATTATCTAAATTATTCAAGAATTGCATATAATGTTCTGGCTATATGCTTAACCTTTTGTTTTATGATATGAGAATACAGTAGACCCTTGCTATTCATGGGTTTGTGATTTGCGATTTTGATGATTTACAGTAAGCAAATGGTGGCTATGGTGGTTAATTTGCGAGCCTTTTCCCACAGCATCTTGTGTTGTACTCTCAAAACTTCAGTGTTTCTGTGTGAAAATGGACCCTAAAAAACTTGCTAGTGTCAGTACTAGAGATGATAGTGGAGTGAAATGTAACAGGCAGAAGTCAGTGATGACCCTGACAAAGAAAGATGAATTATTAGACAAGTTAAAGGAGGGGATGAGTGCTGCCACGGTTGGTCGGTTGTTTGGTATAGGTATACAGTAGTGCACAAAGGTAGTATAAGTTACTATTTGCGGTTTTGCCTATTCACGCCATTCCTTGGAACCTAACCCCTGCGAATAACAAGGGTTTACTGTACTTGAAAACAACTAAATTATTAAAGTACAGGTGAAAATTAGAAGTAGGCAAGTAAGAAATGAGAGGAATAAAAATAATGAGAAATAACAAAATATACAAGAATGAGAAAATAGCCATTACTGAAAAGAAGTTTGTGCTTATACTGTATATGGTAAAATCCCATATGGGACTGCAATATCAATGTCACTAGAAAAAAGTAAGAATCTTTTATTTATCCTACAACTGTACAGCATTACATAGGTAACCAAGGCCAACACATTGCCTTCCTTCATATATTTATAGTTTAAGTGCTTTGAAAATAAATGCCTGTACAGTACTAAAAAGTGGCTATGGAGAAAAAATAAACTATATTTAGTAGTTTTCTGGATTCATTAAGACAATTTTTAATTAAAAAGTATTCATTATATAACAGTTCTATCATTTACTTTCACATCATTTCAACTACAGTACAGTATATATATTTACATCATCTCTAGTGAACTGTACTCATATGGTTATACCATAATACTAACCTGGTGGAGTAGAATTAGTTCTCATAAGATTTCCTTGCGCATGGTTGGACCGTGGGCTGGTGTGAGGTGAAGGAATAGGTCGCTGTATCTGAGGAGGAGGCAGGGGAGGATGCGTTGCTTGCCAGTAAGCATCGAGATACTCTGCTATGTGTTCACATGCATCTTCAAGCTGAAATGAAATACAGCATTCATGTATTACTATTTCCTCGAAACTTAATTCTTATGCCAGGGTTATTTTAACTAACTACATACAGTACAATAAATTATGAAAGGTATACAGTAGGTACTGTACTTATATACAGTACAGTATGCTGAATAACATCATACTGTACAGTATTGTGTTCATAATTGAAAATGTGTTCTCAGTGGAAGGGCAAATGTGATTCAGACTCAAAATATCAATGTTTCTGAAAATGCGACAAATGCTATGTTATGAAAAAAGTGTTTCAACTATAAATGAGGAATTACCTCTAAGAATGACGACCAAACCATTTGAGAGAAAATTCGTTTTTTATTGTATCATGTAGCCATACCCGTGCTCTATCATGTGGTGAGGAGAAATGCACGCTTCTAACCAGTGGTCCCAAGTTTTCTTCCCCAAATGTTACACAGAGCTGAGTGAAAGATGGCCAAGCAGGCTGCTATGTCCCATATCATAAACAGTTTTGTAAGATAAAACTATCTATAAACATTGTCCACGTGCATTTCATAGTATTTTATCATCATGATTGCAGTAGTTATACAGTAAATAATTATCTCATAAAATATTCTAATAATTATTAATAGGACAGGTAGTTATTACCATTATCATTCAGGCATTATTATGGGATGTTATACATTTTTCTCATAAATATTCATTAAGTACAAGGTATTACCCAAATACTACAAAATGAGACCAAAACGTTAAAATTTATTTATATTTGTGCGAGTTATGAATTGGAATAGAAACAAAAATCAACCAGGTTTTAGTAAAAATTAATACCCCTGTACAGTATTTTGCAAGGTTGCCCTTATAAGCAATGCCTTAACAGACCCTACTAAAGCAGATATTGCTTAAACTGGACAAAATTATTTGCCCCCAAAAAAAATAATAATAATAAAATAAAATACAATAATTAAAAAAATGAAAAAGTAGGACAAAATTTGTCCTCGGATGACATTTCCATCTTGAGCCAAAATTTCAAGGGACTTAGGCTATGTCCCATGTGCGAGTGTTCCTGCGGCATTGAATGACCAGGGCATACGTACACGCACGACCTACTTTCCAAAGCGACCTGTGTCCCACCTACCAGCGTCTTGCCAGCATAAACATGCTGTCTATGCATCGTAGACGTTTGCTGGAAATTTTAGAAAAGCCGTTTTTTTCTAAAAAACAGTTTTTGTGATATAGTCCAGAATGCGACGCCTAGCTTTATACCTACGTATGTATATGCCTAGCATTAACTCGCCAGGCCAACATACAGGCAATTAAAACATCTAATAATTACTTAAATATGTAATATTAGGACGACATGTTGCTACCTGGCATTTAACTGCAATTCTCAAAACCCCCTCCCTCACCCTCCATCACACGCATTGCTACCATCAAAATACAGGTACTCCTCGACTTACGACCACCCGGACATACGACCGCCGCAGTCGTATAAAATATTTTTCAAATTACGTATTTTCGAGTCCTGACGTTAGTGATCGCGCTGTGTACTGTCAAAATTTTTGTTTGTAATTCCATTTAAAATGGCTGGCAAGCGTAAAAGTGAGAGTTCTCGTGGTGCTGAGAAGAAAAATGGACACCGATTTTAGATTTTCTATGTATTATTTTCGCATTTTCGACTTATGACCAATTCGACTTACAACCTGGTCGTCAGTCCCTAACCCCGTCGTAAATTGAGGACTGACTGTAACGGTTTTCAACGTGTGGTACCTGCAGAGGTACCCAGGAAAAATTATCCCATACATCAGAGGAGGAGGCTGGATGGAAGTAGGCGAATTTCACCATCTTTACAAGGAACTTCGCTAAGATCCAAAGAAGTTTCATGAGTACACCAGAATGTATTCTGATTGGGGACGAGAGTTATCCACTCTGTGTCTATTTTGTTGAAACCCTACCCGAGAAATGCTCTGAACAAAGAAAAAATAATTCCAGATTGTCACGTGCCAGGCATGCATTTGAAATTTGTACAAGTAAATGGAGAATTTTAAATAAAGCTATTGAAAAAAAGCCATTTTTTCTAAAAACCAGTTTTTGTGATATAGTCCAAAATGCGACGCCTAGCTTATACCTAGGATGTTAATGCCTAGCAATAACTCACCAGGCCAACATACAGGCAATTAAAACATCTAATAATTACGTAATACGTAATATTAGGAGGACACGTCACTACCTGGCATTTAATTGCAATTCTCAAAACCCCCTCCCTCACCCCCCCATCACACGCACTGCCACCATCATCTCTTGCCTTAGAGCGAGCAGTAAACAAAAGTCAACTCTCGAAGGGTGGAGATGGGTAGGTTATCGGCATTGCATTCTGGACTACAGAATATCACAAAAACTGGTTTTTAGAAAAAAAAAAAAAAAACGGCTTTTTGTTCACTCCAGAATGCGACGCCTAGCTTGAATAAACGAGCAGGAGGTGGAGAGGGAGGTGACGTTGCATACAAGGCTCCGCTAGCTTAGGTCCAGATTATGATTACAAACCGTTTGGAATATTTTCAAATATTTACCAGAAGGTAAAATGTTAATTTACATATCCCAATGAGGATACTCACTTTATTCTGATGAGGAAGAAGGTCCTGGTTGTGGAGATTGACTAGGTGGGGGAGGGGACCCCAGCACCACCACATGTGATGCATCTTTCAGAGATAGATGAAGATAGCTGTTTTGAAAGATTTTTGATGATTTCCCACTTCATTGATCTGACTGAGGCTCATATGCCTGGCGAATTGGCTAGGAATTAACATACCTAGGTAGCATTTGCTGACGTCGCATTCGAGCTATATCACAAAAACTGTTTTTTAAGAAAAAAAACGGCCTTTTTTAATTTTTTTTTATCTATGTCAGACTTACGACCAGTCGGACTTACGACCTGGATTTGGGTCCCTAACCCCGTCGTAAGTCGGGGAGCACCTGTAGTACAAACTTTTTGATATTTACTAAAATAGTAAGGAATTTAAGCCCTAGAACCGATTACTGTATTGGCGGACTAATACGACAGCTAGTGTGCAAGCGAAAACATGTTGAGGGGCGCTCGTCAGGAATTCGTTAATCGAGGGAATGCTCGTTAACCGAAGTTAAGAATCTTATGGAAGGTAATTCGTTAACCAAAATCTCGTTAACCGAGGCGCTTGTTAACCGAGGGATCACTGTATATATATATATATATATATATACAGTGGCCCCTCGGTTAACGAACTCAATCCGTTCCAGAAGGTCGTTCGTTAACCGAAACGTTCGTTAACCGAAACCATTGTTTCAATGGGTTTTTGGGTAATTGGTTCCAGCCACCGAAAATTTCCTAAATTCAACAAAAATGGTAGAAAAGTTCACTTACTTTGAGGTGTGTATGTAGAAGGCTCCTGGATGATGATGATGATGATGGGATTTAGAATGGGGGTGGAGGAGAAGGAAGAAGAGAAGGCATTGGGGTGGAAGAGAAGTCACCCCATGGTGCCATTTCACCCATAAAATTTTAGCTCTCTGGTTTAATTCAAGATTATTTTCTTTAAATCAACGCTGCACTGCATTATATATTGTCAATATATAAAATATATTTCAAAATGACCAATAATTTGCTTGGAAACACAGAAAAAAAGCGTTTAGTTGAAGAGAGTCTCAAGCAAGATGTTACCTCCAGTGAAAACAAAGAGAGACTGACGCCTGTTTGCTGTATTAAGAGGCTGGATGCCGCGCATTAAACTTGTCACTTTACCTTCAATTTTGTTCAATAATTGTTAAAATGACTAAAAAATTGAATATTAAACTTTTAAAATTATTGAATAGTATAAACTTCTTGATATTTACAAAAATAGTAAGGAATTTAAGCCCTAGAACCGATTAATGTATTGGCGGACTGATACTAAAGCTGGCTGCCCGGTCCAAAAAACATGTTGAGGTCGGTTAAGTAGTTCAAGTTAATTTTTTTTCACAATCAATTGAAGATCCTTAAAGGCAGTGTTAATAAATTACGCAATCCGAGGCAATATATATATATATATATATATATATATATATATATATATATATATATATATATATATATATATATATATATATATATATATATATATATATATATATATATATATATATATATATATATATATATATATATATATATATATATATATATATATATATATATATATATATATATATATATATATATATATATAAACACACACTGTGTGTCTATGTCAGCTGTCCTTGGTCAAAGTGACTAAATATCATATTATTCCTGTAATATTACTTATCAACAATGTATAACAGAACTGCATAATCACTGGACCATTGACAAAGATGATAAAGTACTATGGTTAAAGTAAAAGCAAAGTATAGTAAGGAGTAAATACAAGAGCTTCAAGCTCAGCAATAATTTTCCAATTCCTTAGACCTTGAAGCTGGTGCAGAACTTTGACAATTAATGGAAATATTTGGGAGTTGCTAGATGACAGTAAAAATTCATGGTACAGTACTAGCTTGTCATTTTGTCAAAGATATTTCATTGTATAAAAAAAAGTTGTGGTTTCCTCGATTCTATTGCTACCGTTTTTGCACAGTCTTGGAGTTGTATCGAGATTACTGGTAAATATGGGGGGGGGGGAGAATCTATAACATGCTCTGCTAAAACTAAAAACTTGACAACTTTTGACTTACCTGATTTTCATCAAGAATAACATCAAACATTTCTGGGGGACACTGTGCCAACTTCTCAGCAGCAACCATCTGAACATTGAGGTTGCGACTTTGAGATTTGCCACGGGATTTTATTAAACGCTGCAATACCTGCAAGCAGAACTGCAATATATATATATATATATATAAGTATATACAATAAATATGTATATATATATATATATATATATATATATATATATATATATATATATATATATATATATATATATATATATATATATATATATATATATATATATATATATATATATATATATATATATATATATATATATATATATATATATATATATATATATATATATATATATATATATATATATATATATATATATAAGGCAACTTTAAACAGCAGAACTCAAAATATTCATCGTGTGATGCATTGTAACACTGGTGACATTTCTGTTGATCTACCTCCTCAAAAATGTCTAGATGGACTTCTACTTATTTCAAAAAATTGCATTTCTTTGCAGGTCATACTATTATACTGTCAAAACAAAACCTTTTTTTTTAAGAAGGGAATGCTGGAGTAAATATTTAATATTCAGAAATTAAACTTGCCTCCCTGTAAGCCTGAGTTCCACTTGAGATATTATGTACAGTATTGTACAAAGAAGGTAATATCTTTTGTTCTTAAAATGCTATGATATTATTGGGCACAGTAATTATTTTTGGGGTTCAAAAGATAGGTTTTTGGTTCCAAATACTTCTCAAAAGACTTATAAAAAAAATCATCTTTAAAAGACATCTATAAAGTTGAGAGGGTAAATTTGCCGTTGGTATACTTTACTAACATTATGGACTAAAATTCAAAAAATATGGCTCTAAACATTGCTAATTATGACAGCTATCAGTATTACAAACTATGACTAAAGCAGTCTGGAAAATGGGTAGTTTATGGAAGACCTGTATGAGGTCAGTGGTGATCAGTGTAAGAAAAATATTAAAGTTGGAGGATACTGAAAAACAAAACTACCTTGCATGATAATTTTGGAGCAAGATTATAAAAACTAAGTTTTGTAAGTGTGGGCTTGAGCCACAATAACCACCATAATTTATAATATGGATATTTAAACATAAAAAACAGAAGAAACTATCTTCATGCTAATAATCACACCTTCATAGTTTCCCTAATAAATATACTGTACATACTGCACTATTTTAGTGCAGAACATTATACTGCACCAATACAGTACAGTAACAACAACTTACCTTTGGAGATGAGATCTTAAGATATACAAGAATAGGAGCTAGAGATGTCTTGGCAAGTTGTGAAGGATGGTTGATTGTATCGCAATCAAGCACAACTAACTGCAAAGTTCTTGCTAGCTCAAATATTCGCTCAATCTCAGCTTGAACTTCTGCTATACATGAAGACCTAGAGTTGGAGCGCTCCATAAGCGCACGTTTGCTGGGGTTGTTTAGAAGACTCCGTTTGGCAAGAGAGATATCGGCGCTCACCCTTGTGATGATTACCCTGAAGAGATAATTCCACTTCATTTTTAATAATTGGATTATGACATTATACATAGAGGCAAATATTAACAACTGCAAAGGTAAGGTAAACTTCAATTACAGCACTTGGAAGAAATTAATAAATTGTCTTTATACTTTACTAAGAATTATGTCTGTAGTTATAAACAATAACATATCCAAAACTTACTTCATATAAAAGAACAATGTTTTTTGGATGTGCCTGGCTCTTCTCTAAAATTTTCTTAAGTTAGGGTGAATAAATGAAAGGTGATCACCATCTTCATGGAATGTGTGTGGTTCCTGACTTTTGCCAAACCCTGTATTGTACTGTACCTACTGTACTGTACTGTACTGTACTGTACTGTATTATGTATAAACACACAATTATAATATTTTGTGATTCTTGCATTAGTCTAATTGAGGAGCACTACAAAAAATTACCTCACATTAACAGAAAAATAAATTCTACTAATGTTCAAGAATTGCATCTAGTCTGCCACCACTAGAAAATTGACTGTTGTTTATTGTTGCTGCCTAATTCAACTGTACATCAGGGCTATAAATACTCCAGAGACATCCCCCAAGCACCCTGAAGTGACAAACCAAATGTGTTGGGGTGCTGCATTAAATCCCCTTTTTAGGCCTCTCTTGAATATTGGCTCCTGGACTATAGTACTGTATAGCATGAGGAAAATGAACTTGAATAAATTCCAATTAATTGAATCCTAAGCAAAGACTAATAAAATAAATACAAACTGTCTAAATGGAGCATGATGGAACATCTGTTCTGGTAAATGTACTGTATTTTGTATGGAGTGCAGCAGCATAAACCTGAACAGTACTGTAAATCTAAGGGTGAGAAACATCTAAACTTAATTTGTACTTTTATATGAGTGATATTCTCCAAAACTTTGAGATAGATCTGTCAAATAAAACCGAAGTTAATGAATGAAAACTAAAAGTATACAGGTAGCCAAGAGTGTCATCCAGTATTATGATGTGCCTGTAAATCTGCTGGCACAAAATAATTGTATAGTACAAAGAAAATTGAGTATGAAAATTCCTAGTGTCTTGGCTCAGAAATTCTGTAAAGCTGAAGTAAGACTAAAACAGAATTGTATCGTAGTGGACAATGAAAACATGACAAGCTCTAGCACAATACTGTAGTATGGTAGACTGAGTGTGCATACTGCAGGCTAAATGCAGCAGTAACTCAGCTTCCCTGGAACACACAAAAAATGTTAAGTAACAAGAACTTAAGAAACATTTCAAGACATTCCATACTTACTTTCCCTCAAATCTGTGCTTAACATAATCAAAGAGCGCCTTTTGCATCATGTCCGTCACCTCATACCCTTTAAGGGAAGGGCCAACGAGCACTAGCGGACGCATGGAAGGCACGACATCATAGGGAGGGATGTTCTCCTGTTTCTTAAAGAAAGGTTTCCGTTTTTCCTTCGCCGGAGGAGTAGTGATGGATGTTTTCCCTTTTGAGTTGCCCAAGGAATCGGAGTCATCACCCAGATTGGAGTCTATTCCGTTGTCGAGATCAAGCCCTGTGTGCGGTATAGTAAGATTATTGGCAGATAGTCTGGGAGCTGCCACGCTTAGGTGCCCTTTTAAAGCTGGAACAAGGAGGATATAAAAATGGGTTGTAGGACTAGTAAAGATGCTGGGCATGTAAAATTGTATGGAGCAGATACTTAAAGAAAAAGTACTATCAAACCAAAATTAGAGGAGAGGACATGAAGAATACTGTACAGTATATTGATGCATAAGGAAAAATGGAGTCTGATGAAATTATCTCAGAATAAAGGCAATGATCTCTGGGTGGAAATGATGCAATTATGATACCAAACTAATGGACAGCAATTGTATGAAAATAGATATACCATGCCTGGCATTCAGGAAATGTCTGTGAAAAAGAATTAATAGTAACTGGGTTTTATATAATCATTTAAAAGGAAAAACAACAGGGATTATGCATTGTAGAATTATATTAGAAACTAAAAATAGATAATAGGGGTTCTGGATTTCTACCAATAATGGATCGCTAAGTGTTTCTTGGCTCAAGTGAAACACAAGGGACTCTGAGGTAAGAGCTTGAGAAAGGTAATAGTGAAGATATACAAGACAAAATATTGCAGTTCTATACTCACACAACATATCTTCAGAAATCATGCAAATGAAGCAGTAACACTGTCTTAAATTGAAACAAAACATCGAGACACGAGAAGTCATACATGCATTTAAAACCAAAATAAATCAGCTTTGGGACAAGAGTGCGTTAAACTAGTGGTCTGCAACATATTTACTTACGTACTAGTCATGGAACTTTTAAATTAAAAGGAATAATTTGCTTTTTCTACCCTAGAATTTGTCCACACACTTAAGAATTATAAATGCTTCACTAATACTACACCTGTACTGTATGCACACTGTACCCTCTTCAACTACTCTAACCCAGGGGTAAATCCATTAATCTATTGTACAGGAGGTTTTCAAAGATAATGATAATACAGTACAGTACTTTACTAAAAGATTCATTCCAACGGATACTGCTTATAATTACAACAGATGAAGGTCGTGATGCGTATGGTGGGGGGTTTTGAGAACTGCAATTAAATGTCAGGTAGCGACGTGTCCTCCTAATATTACTTATTAAGTGATTATTAGATGTTTTAATTGCCTGTATGTTGGCCTGGCGAGTTGGCTAGGAATTAACATACCTAGGTAACATGCTGAAGCGTCGCATTCCGAGCTATATCACAAAAACTGTTTTTTAGAATTTTTTTTTTATTGCTTATATGCATATAAGCTTTTAAAAAACTTATAAGCATAAAGGCTTTTAAAATGTTCATTCTTGTATATTATCATCAAAAGCTCTTAACAGTCTTATCCATTGTTACCATTCTTCCTTTGGTAGCAGGTTAAACAATTTTAAACATGGTACAGACAACCGAACAGGTAATGCACTCAGTCATATACTTTAAACACCTACGGGAGAGCTAACAAAAGACATTAGCATCTTAAAAACTTAAAAGCTGGAACTTATGAATAAATAGCATAATATCTTAAAAAGAAAATTCTTCAACTCTAATACGGATACTGTACTGTATATATAATCAACTATAGTAGTCACAAATTTGCTCAAACTCTTTTCTTTTTCTAAATGAATGAGTGAAACCCAATTTTATTGGACAGGATGTGATTCATGTAGAACAATTTTTTAAAAGGGTTTAACTCCACATTATCAACATGTAGTATCTCATTAAAAAAAACTATGTAAGAAAGTAATAGAAAAAATTAAGGAAAAATAACAAATATTCTAATATAAAATAGAAATTAATTCTATACCACAAAACCACACAGTTGAATATATCTTATGACTGATGCAAACCACAGGTGGAGCTGGTCTTATGAAGGATACTGGAAGGCCAATTACTTTTAAAAAGCAAATACCCTACATATACAGGTAATGGGAAAATAGTAAGAGCTAATCTTATGAAAACAAAGGTTAATAATTGGGTAACTGCTGATACTGACAATCAAAAAGTTATTGTACTGTATTTACAATGTAAACTTTCATATTTCGCTGAAAAAAATACAGGATATTATATAACATTTTATAATTCCCAGGATATGTTCCATACTTTGCAAATAAGGTTTATATAAAATAAGTATTAGGATACAGTAATAAGCAAATACAGGGTCAGTTATTAAAAAAATAAAATATTTTACAGTACTCATAGATGGTAAATGACTGTACAGTACTCAGGCATTGTAATTATCAAATATGTAAAGTTTCATCCATGATGAAATGATAGCCTGACTGGCGAGTGAATTGACACGTGATAGAAAGTATAAGTTATAAAAGAAATCACCATCTATATCTCCTACTATTAAAATAACATTGCTATGGTGACCTTTTTAGCAGAAGACAATTTTTTACCATTACGTATAATTAATGTTTACTAAACTTTACTGAAGTTCTTAAGGTAAGCTTTGATAACGAAATGCAGATGTACCTACAGACTGATGGGCCCAGCTATGTACAGTACAGTATTCCCAGAAACTTCGTTGAGCCAGAGGTATATAATAAGAGAGGGGTAGACCTATTCAAAATAACCTCTATGAAAACTTTATTCTGATTACTGATAGCAAAGACAAAACTTTACCTACCATGGGGGAACTCAAGAGCTTGTTAATAGAGAACAATAAGAAAAATAACCCTTAACTGCCAGATATTGCAACATATCCACTGTCCCTGCTGTCTATAATAATTAAACTATAGTTCCTTGTATGTAAATGTGTTAGGTAATAGAATAAATCTTGCTTATAAAGGTACAATACAAATGTTGTTCTGTATCATAGAATTAACACAATTATCTCTATACTGTAGTGTACCAGATTCACCCATCTTTGAATATTCATGTGTGACAGCAAATATGTGAAGCCACTTTGTGAAACCACATTTGCTATTTATGTTAAATCCTTAATGATGTTCAAAAAATGCTTAGAACTGGAATTGCAAGCTAGGAGGAGCATCCTTTGACAATTGGTAATTATTTTTTTATTACTTTTATGTATTTATGTGATCATTCATGGACTTACAAGTGGTTGCAAGTGACTGGTTTTGATAGAGAATGTGAGACTGGTAATGAAACCTCCCTAATTGACTGCTTTCATAGATTATATAAAACATTAGGTGCAACAGCAGGGGTGGATCTAGGGGGAGGGTCCTGGGGGTCTGGACCACCTTCCTTTCATCAGAAAATTGCAATACTTTTTGTTAAATGCAGTATTGTACTCGGGCGTTTTTTGAAAGTAAAAAATAATTATTATTGACCTTAGAATATCTCTTATCAAGTGCACATGGCTTTCAAGTGGCTTCAAAATGCCCATGATATTGGTCAGATTTAAAAAAAATCTGGGGTAGAACTTACAGCGCCCCCCCAGCTGGGTGGGCTCGCTGCGCTGTCATGTTCACCCACCCACAACTTCTTGGACACCCCTCTTTTGATATCCCTGGATCCACCCCTGAACAGTAAGGAATAATTATTGGTAATGACCAAAGTAGAATCCATAGAAATAAAGGGAATTAAAATTTTCTATGCTATCAACTTAAACTGAAGTGGCAAAACTACTGTACTTAAAAATGAGTTACTAAGTTGTGTACCATAATAAAAAAGATTCTTACTTATTTTTGTACTTGTACCAGTACCTCCGGCAAGATAAATTAAAAATTAAAATAAAGATCAAAATCAGGGAAAAATTGGCAACTTATCAATGAATCACAAGTATAAATTAGAGGTAAAATTAACAAGATTTTCAAATGATGAACTAAATATAAAAAAAATTCCATGAAAACTATTAAAGTCTCCTATAAAGAAAAAAATCATTCACATCCTAAATAAAAAGTATGGATGTCATGCAAACATTTAAAACAGTGAAAAACCAAATCCGGTTTCACTTATTAGACTCTAATATAATGAAATATATTACAAATAATGATTTAAAAACATGAATAGTTGTTAAGTATGTTTTTAAAAGAAGACTGGGAAAATTTTAGCATAATAATATCACACCATCATTATGTTGACACAGAATTCCAACTCCACTCACAACACTGCCATTTTGCACCTCACTATGTACTGTACTGCATTACATTTATATATTTTCTCATGCGTGTTACACCTCAATGACTACTACAGCACAGTAGACCCAGCACTGTACTCTACCACTCCAGCTTCATGCCATTATACTTGCCTTACAACCATCATACTTTCATCATATTACACCACCAGTCATGGCATTATACCTTCAATACTGCCACAATGCTTCTAAATATCATCCGATAACCACTCCCTGCCACAACATTCTCCTATAACCACTCCCTGCCACAACATTCTCCTATAACTACTCCCTGCCACAACATTCTCCTATAACCACTACCTGCCACAACATTCCCCTATAACCACTCCCTGCCACAACATTCTCCTATAACCACTCCCTGCCACAACATTCTCCTATAACTACTCCCTGCCACAACATTCTCCTATAACCACTACCTGCCACAACATTCCCCTATAACCACTCCCTGCCACAACATTCTCCTATAACCACTACCTGCCAACATTCCCTATAACCACTCCCTGCTACAACATTCCTCCTATAACCACTCCCTGCCACAACATTCTCCTATAACCACCCCCTGCCACAACATTCCCTGCACCTACCCCTGCCACAACATTCCTCCTATAACCACCCCTGCCACAACATTCTCCTATAACTACCCTGCCACAACATTCCCCTATAACCACTCCCCTGCCACATTCTCCTATAACCACACCCCTGCCACAACATTCTCCCATAACCACTCCCCCTGCCACAAATATTCCTCTCCCATAACCACCCCTGCCACAACATTCCCCTATAACCACTCCCGCCACAACATTCCTCCTATAAACACCCCTGCCACAACATTCTCCTATAACCACCTCACATTCTCCTATAACCACTCCCCCCTGCCACAACATTCTCCTATAACCACCCC